GGTGGGATGGGGTTCTGGGGGTCCTGGTGGAAACTGGGAGGGAGTTTGGGGGTGCTGGGTGTCACTGGGAGGGATTTGAGTGAGCCTGGAGGAGCTGGAAGGAGATTGGGGATTGGAAAGCAGGGATTGGGATGAGGTTCATTGTGCTGGGAAGAGACTGAGAGGGTTCCTGATGAGTCCTGGTGGGGCTGGGAAGGAACTGGGAGGGGGTTTGGGGTTCCTGTGGTGGTGAGGGGCAACTGGGAGGGGGCTGTGGGATCCTGATAGGGACAGGAGGGGCTTTGGTGGATCCTGGGGAGGCTGGGAAGGGACCGGGAGGTTTCAGAGGTCCTGGTGGGGTGGGTGAGAGTGGAAGGGTGCTTAGAAGGGCTTGGGGTGTCTGTGAGAGGTTTTAGGGGGGATCCCAACCCCTGTAGACTTCCCAGAGATGCTGCCATACACTGCCCGCAGCAAGATGCTGATATGGATCGAGGGCTTCATGTTGGGCTTTGTCTTCCTGGCACTGGGGCTCAGCTTCTGCCTGCACAAGAAGGTGAGGGGGGGTCCTGGGGGTCCTCCCTCTCCTGGAACGTGTGTGCTCCCCTGGGGCCCCCAGCCCAGTGTCACCCCCTTTTCTCTGCCCACAGAGCTCGAGCCACTGGCAGCTGCAGTCCATCCCCATGGCCCGGCCAGGACCCCCTGCTCCATCCCTGGGCTGATTTTGGAGAGGTCGTGTGTCCCCCCAGCCCTGCTGTGACTCTGCCCTTGCCCGGCTGCTCCCAGTGTTCCCAGTAAAGCTTCCCAGTTCGCCCCTGTCCCGTTTATGGGGGGCAATGGGGAGGGACTTGGGGAGACCCCACGGGGGTACCCTGTCAGGGACAGATGCTGCCCCAGGTTGGATCAGGACCCCCGTGTGTCACGCTGTTCTGGGGACTCCTTGGGAGACACCAAACTCCAGCATGGCACCCAGCAAACCCTAAAAAGGGCTGGGACCCCTGAAGCCACCAGGGAAATTTGGGGAGGGGGCGCATGGGTGGTACCTGGACCATGCCAAGAGCCCAGCGCTGCCACAGCCCGCCCTGCCCTGGCTCTATCCTGGCTCCTCCCGTGGGATGCGAAGGAATTGGAAAAATGGGGATCCAAGGGTGGGCGCTGGGCTCAGGGGAGCAGAAGAGATGGAGGAGGAGGAGGAGGAGGGCAGAGGAAGTAGTGGGAGAAGGGCCAGAGAGGAGAAGGAGGCAGAATGAAGGAGGAGCGAGACTCATCCAAACCCAATATGGAGCTCCCATGCGCCTCTTGTCCTCTGCACTTCCACCCCTGCCTCACTGCCGCCCAATCTACCACCCCACCCCTCTGCTTGGTTTTGGGAGTTCCAGATCCCTCCTCTTCAATCTGGGCCTCCCATCCCCCATTTCACTCAATTCTGGCAGCTTCTGGCAGCCTTTTCCTGGGAAGAATCCCAGATTCTGGGAATTTTTGAGGTGCAGTTCTGGAGGAGCGCCGCGTTGGTGTCGATAACAGGGGTTCCACGACTATCCTGAAGAAGCCATCCTGAAAAGGACTGCCCAGGGACACAGGCACGTCCTCTGCCTGGCGAGTGATCTCAGCTCAGCGACAGCGTGCAGGCAACGCGGAGAGAGACTAGAGCGCTGTATGGCATTCCACTGAGAAATAGCCTTTATCATAGCAGGGCCCTCAGTGAAGGGAGCCAGTGACAGCAGCTGCCTGAACTGGGGAAAACCCGGGGTTTATATAGGGAAAGAGAGGGGCGGGGAAAACTGGGATACATGTATCGGGGTGGATTGATAGGAAGGGAAACCGATGGGGTGTAACAAATTAACATGTTCAACTCAAAGGCCTCTGGGAGTGACACTTTTTCTCTTCATGAGAGCAAAGTGTCTCACCTAGGGAGAAGCTCTCCAGGGGAGAGCCAAAATCTCTGAGCTGGCTGGTTTTTTGGGCCCCACAGAGGAAGACAGCACTGTCTGCTGTGGCCTTTCAACTGTCCCTCACACCCTGGAGGTGCTGGGATTTCCCTCCTGGGCACAAGAACGTTCATTCCCTTCCAGGAGCCCAATGCCCGGCTGGGGCTCCAGGCCAGGGGTCCTTGAGCAGCTGCCCCAGAACCTCTGCCAGGGGCTCGCAGCGCAGCCGCAGCCACTCGGCCTGGGCTCCCCAAAGCCCTCAGCAAGCCCCAAGTCCCTGCCAGGAACCCTCAACTCCCTCAAACCCAGCATCCCCCACAGCCCCTGAAAGTTTCCCCCATGGCAGTGCCCATGGCCATGGCCACACATGTCACTGGCCATGGCCCACCATGTCCTCACCCAGGGCTGTGTCCCCACCATGTTTCCATCCCTGGCATTGTCCCCTACGTCTCCATCTGTGCCAGTGTCTCCTCACGTCCCCATGAATGGCCACGTCCCCATCCCTGTCCCTGTGTCCCCAAGTCACTCTCCATGTCCATGGCCCACCATGTCTATGTCCCTCAATGTCCTCACCTGTGTCTTACTTCAGTGTCTTTATTTTTAATCCGAAGTTGCATGTTTTGAAAGGATAAAGAAAAATCAAAAGCAAATCAAACCCAAAAGGAAAGGATTTTTGTGTCTCTGCCAGCTGAGGACCCACATGCCTGGGTGGGAGGGAAGAGCATTTTTTGGAGGGCTTTCCACACCACTACCTCCAAAATCTTGGTCTTTGCCTCAGTTCATCAACATTTGGCTGAGGAAAACACCCTTGACTGAGGTGGGAAAAGATCTCCAAGAGCATCCAGTATTCCTTGATGGCAGCAGAAGATTGGACTGAAAGCAAAATACTTCTTTGCCATCAAAATCAACAAATCCGCTCTCCCAAAGGAATTCCCTATGTCTGTGTCCCAATAGATGTTCCTGCTCCGGTGTTGATCCAGGTGCCCACAGGGAGCCAGGAAGATGTGGAGCCTCCCAGCCAGGTGTCTTCCCAACACGGATCACCAGGACCACGGATCACCAGGGCTCTGCCCAACGGGGGTCACTGGGGATCATCCAACGCCGATCCTCCCATGGGGGATGGAGCTGGAGCAGCGCACAAAGCTCTTCCCGCACTCGGGGCACTCGCAGGGCTTCCCTTAGTGGTGCCTCCGTTGGTGTTGGGTCAAGTTAGATCTCTGTGAGAAGCTCTTCCCACACTGGGGACACTCGTAGGGCCTCTCCCCAGTGTGGATGCGCCGGTGGAGAGTGAGGTGGGTGTTGCGGTTGAAGCCCTTCCCGCAGTCGGGGCAGCGGAAGGGCCTCTCGCCTGTGTGAATCCGCTCATGTAGGAGGACATGGGAACTGCGCTTAAACCTCTTCCCACACTCGGGACACTCGTAGGGCCTCTCCCCAGTGTGGATGAGCTGGTGTGTCCTCAGATTGGAGCTCCACCCAAAGCTCTTCCCACATTCCAAGCAGGTGTAGGGCCGTTCCCCTGTGTGGCTCCTCTGGTGATGCATCAGGTTGGAGAGGTCACTGAAGCTCTTCCCACATTCCCCACACTCGTAGGCCTTTTTCCCAGTGTGGATGCTCTGGTGCCGGATCAGGTGGGAGCTCTTTCTGAATCCCATCCCACATTCCAAGCACTTGTGGGGCTTCTCCCCTCCATGAGGCTTCTCCCCCAGCTCCGAGCTCTGGCTGGATCTCCAGCCGCCTTCCTGGCACAGGGGGGATCCTTCCTCCCTGCAGCTCCCTGGGCTGGGTTTGCAGCCCCTCCTTGTGTGGCATCTCTGGGGCTTTTCCTTCTCCTCCATCCAGCCACGCCTTAGGAATAAGAAATCCTGGTTTGGGGGAAAAAGCAAGAGGAGAGCGCCTTGGGCTGGGGGTTCTTCCTTGCCCAAGTTCATCTCAGAAAGTCATTTGGCACCTTGTGTCTGGAAGAACCTCCAGGACACCAAGATTCAGCACAAACATCCTCCAAACATCAAAACAGATCAAAAACTTCCAAAACACCAAAAATCTGATATCCCCCCAAAATACAAAGACTCAGCCCCCACAAAAAAGCAAAACTCCAACATTCAGCCCAATAAAGCTCAGAAACACCAAGATTCAACCCCGTGAAAATCGTGGATCTCCCTGCCCGGGCACTCGCTGCATGGGGGGGTGAGGGGGGCAATGAGGCCGGGCCGGAGCAGGGGGTGCCTGAGAGAGGCCCCGAGCCCGGGGGAAGCCCCTGCAGAGCCATGGAAGTGGCTCCTGGCCGGACTCGGGGATCCCCCTGGCGATCCCCGCTGGAGCAGCCTGCTCCTGAGGGACTCTGTCCCCTGGGAGGGACCCCAGGCTGCAGCAGGACAAGGATTCCTGGCCCTCAGGGGGAGGCAGTGACATGACCTGACTGTGACCCCCATCCCTGTGCCTCTGGGCGGGGAGGGGGACGGACAGGGGCAGAAAGTTAAGCCCGGGAAGGAGGGACAGCTGGGGGGAAGATGGATTTCCGTAGGAATTACTTTACTTCTCGTTTTCTTGCTCGGACATGTTGGACAATAAATTCAATTAATTTCCCCAAGTCAGGTGTGCTGTGCCCGTGACCAAGGATTGAACTGTCCCCACCCTCATCCAGACCCCCGAGCCTTTCCTTGTGTGTTCTGCTCCCCGCCCGGGGCAGGAAGGAGAGTCACAGAGTTTTGGCCTCGCTCCGGCATGCCCTGCTCCATCCCGGACTCACCCCCAGCTC